TGACAATATTCAAACAATTCGCGCATGAGGAAAATAGTCTTTTACATGATCGGGAAAGTTTGATTTGGAGCAAAAAAGTACAAAATTCATTTTTGCACAATTGCTTCGTGATGAGATTCTTCGAAAATTGCGTGTTGCTTTTTTCGCTGGTTGATAATTCATCTTAACAAAAATATTTTCTGGTAAACATGTTTTGTTATCGAATAGAAATTGTTCGTAATAATCTTTGTAAGCTCTAGAGATATCAAGTTCCAAAAGATAAGGATATTGAATGATTGATAAATTTTGATTTTTTAATTTTCTTAATTGTTTATTATTTTGTGGTTTTTGATTAATTAAAACTAATTTTTCCAAGAATGGAAATGATTGAGAAATTTGAAAAAAAAAATCATGTTCAAATGGACGTTCATCAAACAATGATATTTTACGAACGCATTCAAATATTCCACCTGGAAAATTATTTGTTATATCATCGTAATATATCAGTTGATATGGATAAGAATAAATATGACATTGACTATATTCTTTTTCTTTGAAATAATCAATAGAAGAAATAATTTTTTCATTTTTACAGTCTTTGAACGTTTCTTGAATATATTCATTAGATGGTAAATTAAGTTTAGTGTAAAAACGACTTCTTGAATGAATATTAAATGTAAATTTGTTTAACAATGGCATATAATTTATAATATTCAACTTCAAATCATTGCCATCAATATGTAGCGTTTTCTTTGTGGAAACTATAAGAGCCAAATCAAGTTTTTCTAAATTCGACATTCGATGTAGAAGCGGTAAAAACAATTCATCATAGAAATCTGTGTCTAAATCACAATGTAGTTTAAACGATTTTAGATTAGGCAGTTTTTCCTGAAAATGAGACCAAATGTAATTCATTTGAGTAGATTAAAGATTAAGCAAAATACTGTACCCTATTATTGATTATTGAACGCAAAGTAGTGTGTTCCATATTAACATGAAAGGTATGAAGCTGACTGAAACGTCCATCAAGTAAATAAAGGCAATCACTAAAATCAACCAAACCAACATATAATTCTAACAGAGTCGAAGAAATAACAGTTGGAGGTGATATTCTAAAAGATAAATATTGATCCCAAATTGATAATGGACCAACATTTAATACTTGTAAATTAGTAAATGTGTTAAATATATGAGTAAATAAAACTATATTTTCATCTCGTGTTGGATTTCCTTCTCCACTCGCTTTAACATCGAGAATAAGTGATGAAATTTGTTTTTTATAGGCAGAAGTGAAAAGACGATCATCTAAAGCAGAAAAACAAATTAGAAAAGAATTATTGAAAATATTTTATCAAAGCTCATATTTATCTTTAACTTAAAATATTTATTTTTTTTAAATAGTCAAAAAAATACATTTTATTATAGATGTTATCAATCCTCATCATCTATTTTCTTTTCTCACAAATGTATACTTAAAAGTTTAATTTGAAAGCATAGTATCATACTTATTTTAACGTTTTTTTTCTCTAGAAACATTTCTATTATATTCTATGTAAAATAGTCTCTTTGATAACAGTTATAAATTGTATTTATGAGTGCGAAAGAATCGCACACAAATATCTTACCTGAAAACAGATGTACAGCATTTTCTAAGGGAATATTATACAAAGCAATTCCAACTAAATTAGGATAATTTGTAGAAAGAAGAATACGTTCCATCGATGATGATTCAATATCAAGCCATTTGACTTTTTCATGAATTTGAGGTAAGACATGTGGACAAATACGATCAAGTAGTAAATCAGATAATGGATAAGCAAAAGATACTGGAGAATATCTTCGCGAAATCAAACGATCTGATACAAATTTTACCAAAGTCAAACGATTAGCAAAAATAGGCTCATGTACTATTTTATTTAAACGTATATTAACACCTGATAAAGAATAAAGTAGTGTAATATTATGTAAATTTTTAAAAATCATCATAAGAATTTCATCAGGTAAGTCACGCAATTGAACAGATGAATTTTCCATGTTTATCTCCACTTGTTTATTCTTTTTCATCAATAAATGTCGCTATTTATAGACATTATCATATGCTTTATTTGAACAATGTGGTCAATAACAACAATAGTTTTATTTTCTAT